CCACCCCCTTCACCAGAAAGAAATATGTCTAATGAATGTCTCATGTCTGAAACACTGGGCTGGATTCATCAAAGGGAGTCAGTAATTACCAAATTGAGAGAATCATGAATTGCTTTTCTAAATTTGAAAAGCACATCAAGAATAGATCAGGAGCAGGCAAAATTAATAGTTACGAACTCATTTCCATAGAAATGGACTTATTAGCAAGCTTGCCAGCTGCCTAAAATTATAAGGTCTTTTCCTTCTGCTTGCAGGAAATAACTGTGTTGGGGTTTTTTGTTTTTTTTTAAACCCAAATCAAATATTTTCTCCCCTTCTTTCAAAATTCCATTGAAACTTGAATTTTGCTAAGTTTGCAGAAGGTGGGGAATATCTCTGTTATTGGGCAAATTGAAAATAAAATGGTGGAGGAAGAAAGTACCAGAAAGAGAGGAGGAGTTTATGCAAGTTTGAAGTTTTGTCTTCCTTCAGAAGGAACGTGGTGTGAGGTGCAGAATCAAACAGGATTGAGGACTGTGATGTTCTTATCATTTCTTATGACAGCTAATCTGTAGTCAAGTTCCAGCCTGAACAGGAAGCCTTTGGAGTTCTTGTCGAGGGGAGCCAATGGCCAGCATGCATGAGCAGTCACTAGAATACCTTTCCTTTCTGTTGGTTTATTCAGAATATTTATAGGCCATTCTTTGGCAATGCCTTCACTGAATCTTGAAATAACATAATTAAAGCCACTGTTTGAAATGGTAAATTCAGGCCAGGGATCAGCTGCAACCGGCTCTCTGGTTTGCCACTGGGAGAAAAGGACTAGACTTGCTGCTGGCCAGATCTAGCAGGCTCATCTTATGCTCCTATCATGGCTGTGCATCTTGACTTCTCTGCAGTTATGGAGATTGAGGTACTAAAGGGGAATGAGTCTGCCAGGCCTGCATCCAGTGGCTGCACCGCCCCCCAAAAGGAATGGACAGATACCCACTCAAGACCCGCTCCCTGCCTTGCTTGCCTTTGCACCTGACCTGGGAGGGCAAGGACCTGATTGACTCCAACTACAAAAGCTGAGGCTGCTGAAGAGGCCAGAGACCACTTTGGCTGTGATTGCTGGAAGACGTGGTCCTTGCCTTGCTGGCCTTTTCCCCACCTGGCCTGGGAAGGAGGGGCTCTGACTGACTGACTGACTCCAGCTACGAAAGCTGAGGCTGCTCAACAGACTCTTGGGTTGGGGTATTGTTTAGAGGTTTTTCTTGGGCTTTTTGTTGCTGTTATTGATATTATTTTTTTTATCTTTACTTTTAGACATTATGAGTGTTATGGGAAGACTGCTCAGTTTGGTTGTACACCTGTTGATGTGTTTTATTTATTGTTTATGGCTACTTTTGTTATGTTCATAATTATGTAAATCTTTTCATGTTGTAGGGGACATGGGTGGTGCTGTGGTCTAAACCACTGAGCCTCTTGGGCTTGCCGATCAGAAGGTCGGTGGTTCGAATCCCCGCAATGGGGTGAGCTCCCGTTGCTCGGTCCCAGCTCCTGCCAACCTAGCAGTTTGAAAGCACGCCAAAAAGTGCAAGTAGATAAATAGGTAGTGCTCTGGCAGGAAGGTAAATGGTGTTTCCATGCACTTGCTCTGGTTTCGGTGTTCTGTTGCGTCAGAAGCGGCTTAGTCATGCTGGCCACATGACCCGGAAGCTGTCTGCGGACAAACGCCGGCTCCCTCGTCCTGTAAAGCGAAATGAGCTCCACAACCCCAGAGTCATCTGCGACTGGACTTAATTGTCAGGGGTCCTTTACCTTTTTTTTCATGTTGTAAGCTGCCTTGAACATGTCCCCCCCCACTATGGAAAGGCAGCATACAAATAAGATGATGGTGATGATGATGATGATGATGATGATGTGTTTACATTTTGAGAAGTGCAAATCAGGAAGGTTTGCGTTCAAATGCCAAGTGAACTGAATCTCTCCCTATCCCTGTATCAGGCTCCTGCCTCCCCACACCTTCCAGGCTGGGCACTCATGTTCACTTTCTGCATTGCATGTGCTGTATTGGGACCCTGCTGGCTTCTGTGCCATTACTTGTCTGCCCTGAAGAGTGGAACTAAGCTGAAGGGAGCTGCAATAGAACTGCTCGCCCATTTGCAAAGCTAAGGAGGGCCTGGTCTGGTTTCAAATTGGATGGGGGAACCATGTGTTGAAATTCCTGCATTGCAGGGGGTTGGACTGGATGACCATTGGGGTCCCTTCCAACTCTACAGTTCTATTACTCTGTGATTTGGACAAGTTCCCCCAGCCTTTTCTGAAGGTCCCTTGCAAACTTGGGGATTTTGCTGAGTTCCTGAATGTGCTGATGGCAGACACAACTTGGAACTGACAGTTAATAACCTTTCGAGCCAGGGAAGGAAGTACCGATCAGTCTTCATACTCTAGGAAAGGCTCGGGGTCAATGGGGTGAGTGTTAGAACAAAGACCCCCGGGACGGCAAAAGGGCTGTGGACCACGCGAGAGGTGAAATAAAATAAAATAAATCCACTTTGGAAAGTTTTCGTGCTGTGGCTCATTATAACTACGACCTGGGAAGAGGCACGGAACAAGGGCCACAGGTTGATTGCAGTCTTCTCCGTGGGGGATTCTGTGTCCCAGATACTGCCAGGCTTGGGCCAAATGATCTGTCTGTGAGATGGAGGGATAAAATCAAACGTTCAAGGAGTGGCAGAAGTGTCACAATCTTTTCAGAGGGCTCAATGACTGCCAACGTGTAAAGCATTTTCAGTGGCTGGTAAGCTCACTTTGTAAGAAGTTTCCTCTGGGGGATATATATATATATATATCAGTCTGAGACATGAAACCTAATTAGAACAGAACTGCTCTGACAGGTGAGTACAGCTGTTTCTGCAGCGCCACTAAAAAAAGGAGATTAAGACAACGCAAGCATCTTGTGTTGGTTTTATTTTATTTTTTGCAGATGCCTGCCCTGCTTGGTGTATGCAAATTGTCTGCAGGTGAAAGGAAAGAAGGGCATCACCAGTCCTTAACTTTAAAGCTGCCTTCATTGGAATTTTGCAACCTTCACCCTTTTACTCAACCAGAGTCAGACCTGCCCCCAGCGTGAGGATTATACGAAAAGCTTTCCTTCTAAAACATTGTCACGTCCCACTCCCTTTAGTATCCTATGGTAGGGAAAGATAAGGTGGCACCCTCCAGATTTTGCTGGACCCCAGTTCCCATCATCCTTGACCATTGGCTACGCTGGCTGGGGATGATGGGAGTTGTGGTCCAACAGCACTTCGAGGACCACAGTTTCCTGTCTATTACACACCCTAGCTATTCCACACCTTTCCCATTGTGGTGCCCCCCAACTCCCATCATCCCTGGGGAACTCTAAGAACATTTGGAGGGAATCCAGTTTGGAGAAAAATACATAACACTGGCACAGCTAGGCATCCCCCATAAGTGCAATATTACTATTACTACTACTACTACTATTAATAATAATAATAATAATAATAATAATAATAATAATAATATATTTATACCCCAACCATCTGTCTGGGTTTCTCCAGCCACTTTGGGTGGCTTCCAGCAGAATATTAAAATACAATGATTAATCAAATATAAAAAGCTTCCCTAAACAGGGCTGCCTTCAGATGTCTTCTAAAAGTCTGATAGTTTTTTTACTCTTTGACATCTGGTGGGAGGGTGTTCCACAGGGCGGGTGCCACTATCGAGAAGGCCCTCTGCCTTGTTCCCTGTAACTTGGCTTCTCACAGCGAGGGAACCACCAGAAGGCCCTTGGCGCTGGACCTCAGTGTCCGGGCAGAATGATGGGGGTGGAGACGCTCCTTCAGGTATACTGGACCATGGCTGTTTAGGGCTTTAAACGTCAGCACCAACACTTTGAATTGTGCTCGGAAACGTACTGGGAGCCAGTGTAGGTCTATAAGGATGCATATGGATGCCAACTCTTGCAAAGATTACTCCAGGGTGTATAGGTTGAACTACTGGAGCACAGCCTGTGGCTCTTTAGGTGTTATGGGTCTGAAGCTCTCAACATCCTCTGTACAATTGGGCCCAGAGCCTCGGAGACACCGCAGGGGCACCACTGAAATCTAGGACCCCAAGGTTATGATATGGAGGTATTGATCACCCAGTATTGTTTTTTAGTTATGCTATCATATCATACCTTCCAAAGCCCCAGGAGCTCTGGAAAGCTGTGTTTCCTAGGGATTCTGGTGCTCAGAATTCTACCTTGGGCATTTTCACTGGGTGTAATGTGGCCAGTTTATTGGCCTTGGACATTGACAGGGAACCCGTGGCCACCCAAATATGTTGGATTTCCAGCTCCTATCAGCCGCAGCCTCTCTCTGGGCAATTGTCAGGGATGATGGGGTTTTTAGGGAGACTGTGTTGCATCATTGTGTAATGTTGCACGGAGAAAGCTTGGTTGAGGTGGGGATGATGGCCAGCACTGGTGGCTTCCACTGTTTCCCACTGTGGAAAACCGGGGGGGGGGGCTGCAGTGAAAGGGGTGAGTAACTTCACTCTCCTTTTGACCCCCTCCAAGTTTGCCTGCGAGTTCTCCTAGGACAGTGATGGCCAAACTCAGCCCTCCAGCTGTTTTGGGACTACAACTCCCATCACCCCTAGCTAACAGGACCAGTGGTCCGGGATGATGGGAATTATAGTCCCAAAATAGCTGGAGGGCCAAGTTTGGCCATCACTGTCCTAGGAGAAAGCTTGTTGCCTGGCTCCTGTAGATAGGAACAATTAGAAAATCTGAAGATCTACTGTTCTGAGAAGGGGACATGTTGGCTGATTTAGGTGGTCTGACAACAACAGGCATATCTAAGCCCTCTAGTATGATTGCCAGAAGAGCCCACCCCCCCGTCCAGCAACAATTTAAGGAATCTCAGTCTTTTCTTTTTCTGTCCAAATATGAAACGTTTATGTAATATGTTAAAAATAATGATCCAATTTCAAATTCCAAGTAACACCACCTTTTAATTTTTCAGGGCAAATGTCTCTTCTTACGAGATCTTTCAGATGGATTTTGAGATAGACAACAGTAGTGGCCTGGTGGGGGCCCAGCAAATCACCTGGCAGGTGGAATACCCCCGAGATGAGTCTGTGAGCGAGCTGGTGGTCTCCGAGATCTTTGTCAGCCAAGCGACTTTTGCAGGAATTGTTCCACTTGCGATGGTAAGAATCTACCTCCTCCTTTGTTATATTATTCTGTTTCATGTTTCATTCTGTTTCTGTAGATATGGGAATTAGGGAAGGAGAGAAATATTTCCTGAAAACTGCTTTGATTGTTAGAATGCTCACCTTTCCCAGTCCCATTTATTGTCATCTATTTTTTATTTGGCATCATTCTTTGCCTCCTGGTATTTGCATCTCCCTCTTTCATGGATGATCCCAGCCAATCAGCAATTGCACAGCTGAATGGGATGACATCACAATGATACATAGGCAATCAGATTTAGCCAAGTGAGGAAACCAAGCCCATCTGAGAGAAAGGCGAAAAGAAAATGGTGTGAAAAGGTGACATTTTTGGAGGTGTTCCTATAGCTGGTTGAAAAGATTGCGGGGGTTTTGACAGACAAAACCAAAAATGCTTCTGAAAAGCAGCAGTCTTTGGGTTCAGCCTTATGAATCCTTAATATTTGTTCAAGGCAACTGGATCTGCTAATTTGCATCTGCAGTAGAAAGGTCTCAATGCATAAACTACGTTTCAATAAGATTTTTTATTTACCTGATGTTTAGTAACAGCTCCTTGGAAACCATTAAAGTCTATTGTGTGATTCCACCCCCCCCTTTTGGGGGATTATGGGCCCAGTACATGATAATCGCTCCTCTGGAGCTGTTGCCTTCCATTGTGTTACTGGGATCTCCATGCATCCACACAGCGGTGATAGGCTACAATTAGCTGTGGCATTTTCATTTAAATTAATTAGCTGGCTCATGCTGGAAACTTTATATCTAAACCAAACAAAGTGAACCAATGGTGGGGAAGGCCTGAATTCTCTCCACTTCCCAGACCTTTGCATTTGCTAGTCTTCCATCACAGTCTTGTGGTGTTTTTAATAAAAGAAGTAATTTCAAAGGTCTTGGTGGACCCAAAGTGGACTTCCATTTTAGCCCCTGTCCCATATGTACATGTAAAAAAGAGCCCATGGGATCAGACCAACATCCTGTTATCCAGAATAGTCAGCTGGATGCTTCCATAAGCAGGGTGCCTGCAGTTTGTACCCCTGGTATTTATTACTCTGAAGCAAGGATGGGCAGAGGGACACAGGTGGCGCTGAGGTCTAAACCACTGAGCCTAGGGCTTGCCGATCTGAAGGTCAGCGGTTCGAATCCTCTTGACGGAGTGAGCTCCCGTTGCTCAGTCCCAGCTCCTGCCAACCTAGCAGTTTGAAAGCATGTCAAAGTGCAAGTAGATAAATAGGTACCACTCCAGCGGGAAGGTAAACGGCGTTTCCATGTGCTGCTCTGGTTTTGCCAGAAGCGACTTAGTCATGCTGGCCACACGACCCGGAAAAACTGTCTGCGGACAAACGCTGGCTCCCTCGGCCTGTAAAGCAAGATGAGTGCCACAACCCAGAGTTGTTCGTGACTGGACTTAACTGTCAGGGGTCCTTTACCCTATTTTTAAGGATGGACAGACCCATCTCAGTTCTTCATGGGGGCCGGACTCAAGTTGTGGTGATGGATGCTGTGAAGCAGAATTCACCGAGTTTTGGATTGTTCACCCACTAATATGAGTCATAGCTCAGTCAGTAGGGCATGGGACCTTCTAATCTCAGGGTCATGGGTCTGAGCCCCATGTTGGGCAAAAGATCCTGCGTTGCAGGGGGTGGACTAGATGATCCTTATGGTCCCTTCCAACCCTATGATTCTATGATGCCCATTGGGACTGGTAAGGTAGAAGGCAGGGAGCCCATACAGGAGGTGGAGCCAGAGCTAATGTTAGGTAGCAGCAGAGTCTGGCTTTGTATTTTCTTTGTGCCAAGAGGGGGCAAAATGCACATGTTCACAGACATTCTCATCTCAAGCCATTATATGGTATGGGAGAGCCTGGCTCTCTTCGACGTTGGCTTTTGCTCAAAGTTTCTGGGCTCCCAAACTGGAAAATCTACAGCTATTTTTCAGTGTTCCTTTAAAAATGTCTCTGGTCCTCTCGACACAGCTAGGGAACTTGCGTCATTGTCAGAGTTGAGCTCAGTTACAATTCAGAGTAAGTCCCAGTAAGCCCTGATGCTGTGATGGACCCCTCCGATGGCAATAGCTCTGTTAAGGATCTTTGAGTTGGGATCATCCTCTTTTAAAAGTCAGACAGCCCCAGAATTCAATGAAACCATTGGGATGACCTCATTGGGGAGGAAGAAGAATGATTTTGCTGCTGCTGTTGGCATCCATCTGTCTTGGGGGACAATGGAGATGAGTGCACTTCTGGAGTGAATTCAAACTGCTGGAAGGTTGCAGCGCCCGCCGTGGCTGTAGACACCGACGCAGGAAAGACATGTTTTGTTGCAGCTGGGGCAGATGAAGGCATCTGGTTGTTGTCGGAAATCAAGCCTTTATCAGGAGAAACTGGCAACTCTCCCAGGCACCCGGCTTGGTCTCCTGGTGACCTCCCTGTCTGCTTTCCCGGCAAGATCCAGGCAGAGGTCGCGATAGGCGATCCTTCTCAGCGTGAGAAGAACACCCCCCCCCTCTTTCCTGCCCCCCCTGGCAGGGGAAAGAGATAGACAGAAACGTATTTACATGCCTTTATTTCTGTCTTTGCAGCGTTACAAAATACATGACTGCTCTCTTCAAACTCCAGCAGTCAAGAGACAAACACTTCCTGTACTTCCTGTACAGGAACAAAAGGAAGAGCTCATATTACACTCTGAGGTAATTCCGGTGCTTCACACTGTGAATTGACTGTCCCTCTGTTTCCCACGGACAGTCCCAACATTCCCATTATGTTTTGCTTTCAAGCTAGCAGTTTGCAGCAGCATTGCTTCTATATCGTAACAGTTGTGCTGCTGCAGATGCACCGGGGCGTTTCTTCTCTCTGTGCTCCTCCCAGGCCCAGCATTCATTCCTCCTCTGATCACTGTTATGGATGCACAACCTGACTGCCTGTCTCCAGGCACTGTGGTCATCCCACATAGCAGGGTTGGTGTTGCCAGCCTTCATGTCATGTTTGCAGTCATCTTTGTAATGCAGAGTTGGTCTGCCAATGGGTGGGGTGCCTGAAGCCAGCTCCCCATAGAGCACGTCCTTGGGGAGGAATGATAACACACAGGATTTATTTGCCACATCAGCTAATTAATTCATTATCAAATAAAGTATCCCTCCTTTTCCTGAAGGAGCTCAAGGTGGCATACATGACTCTCCCTCTCTCCCTAGCCTTCTCACAACAACCTTGAGAGGCAGTTTAGGCTGAAAGTTCCCATTCAGGCAAATGAGAGGCATTATCTAAGTTCAAGGAAACATTCCAGCTAAGCAAATAGAGTCAAGGATGGTGCAAAGCAAGGCTGATGCAGTTGGGGGGTGGATGGACTGGGGAGAGGGTGTGTAGCTGGAGCAGGTCTCAAGAATTAGGGGTTTGGAGGGCTGCATCCAGCCTCCAGCAGTGGTGACCGGCAATGGTAGGGCAGAAGGCCAGGAGGCCAACAGTAGGTGGAGCAAAAGCCAATGCCAGACAGTCAACTAATTTTATCTCCATCCTCCTTCCTGTCGAGTTTGATGAAGACAACTTTGGGTCTAAGGAAGAAGGAAGGAGACAGTCAGTGCTACCCTCTGGACCAGTTGCTAGGCAAGAAGACTGGTAGATGGGGACTGGCTGAGAACAGGCCAAGGTTGGCTGTGCAGTGCCCCCATTCACTCTGGGGGCTGCCACTGGCCCCCAGGCCTGAAGTTTGCTACACCTGAATAAGGCTTCACTTCTCAATTAGTTCTAGTGTTTCTTGACAAATTGCTGCATCCTAGATATGGCTCAGTTCCTTCTGCTCACAAGCCTGCTTGAGTCGGTAGCCTTAGGCAATGAGAAGTTGAGCGAGACAGCCCTGGAGAGGAGCAACATCTTGTGTTTGCATAGCTTTCCTCATGTTTGCCAACCTGGAGTGTTCGTTAGCACAGCAGGCATGGAGCCTGGGCTGCAACCCACCAGAGCAGGAAGAGAATTATCACTGCACCATGAGAACATAAGAGCCCTGCTGGATCAGACCAAATGCCCCCCAGTCCAGAACTCTGTTCTCACCCTGGCCAGCCAGGTGCCTGTTGGAAGCCTGCAATTAGGACCTAAGTGCACCAGCAGTCTTCCCAATTGTGATTCATTCTCAGCAACTTGCATTCAGAGGCAGATGACCACGCTGGGAGCTGTAGTTTGTTGAAGATGCTGGGAGTTGTTAAGAGATGTCCCCAACTCTACCTCTCATCTAAATCAGAACCAGTGACAGTGGTGAATGTCCCGTGAGAGGGTCTGGAGGTGGTTGGAGGATGGATGGCGGCTAATGAATTGAGACTGAATCCTGACAAGGCAGAAGTACTGTTTTGGGGGGGGGGACAGAGGGTGGGCAGGTATGGGGGATGCCCTGGTCCTGAATGGGGCAATTGTGCCCTTGAAGGACCAGGTGCGCAGCCTGGGAGTTATTTTGGACTCACAGCTGTCCATGGAGTCACAGGTCAATTCTGTGTCCAGGGCAGATGTCTATCAGCTCCATCTGGTACGCAGGCTGAGACCCTACCTGCCTGGGCACTGTCTCACCAGAGTGGTACATGTGCTGTTTATCTCCTGCTTGGACTACTGCAATGTGCTCTATGTGGGGCTATCTTTGAAGGTGACTTGGAAACTACAATTAATCCAGAATGTGGCAGCTAGACTGGTGACTGGGAGTGGCCACCGAGACCACATAACGCCGGTCCTGAAAGACCTACATTGGCTCCTATTATGTTTCTAAGCACAATTCAAAATGTTGTTGTTGTTGTTGTTGTTGTTGTTGATGTTTCTTCTTCCTCTTCTTCTTCTTCTTCTTCTTCTTCTTCTTCTTCTTCTTCTTCTTCTCCTCCTCCTCCTCCTCCTCCTCCTCCTCCTCCTCTCAGAGATACAATTTTCAGAGTTCCCTGAGAGGAAGGATTGATTGTTAAACCAATTTGGGAACTGTAGCTCAGTGAAGGCTATAGGGATCTCCTAACAACTCTCAGCA